TATTCGCCCGAGGTTGGATCCGAATTCGGACCTGACTTGGATAGGTATATATTGAGACACTCCCTGTAGCTAGCTCTGTAGACTTTTGATATCCTTTCGTACAAGGCCTATAGGTGGCTTGTTGAATCTAGGCTCTTTGTGATCCCACGCACTCCCATATGCCACTGAGTGATCCTACGACCGAAACAGATCCGACCTGCCTTACCTGCGCCGTTACAATACTAAAGGGAGTAACTAGCTATTTAAATAACCTAAATTATATTTAGAATACGATTTTCTACTTATTACCTTCTACTATATAGATCTTATAGAACGCTATAATTATATCCAACTTTATAAACTATATTACCATACTTAAGTTATTAAGCGTCTTTTAGATTAGTAAGAGAGGGTACTAGTCTTTCTTTATAATTATATTTAACGCATAGTAGTTAATATATAATTAATGCCCCCTTTTTAGCTTCTTAGTAAATAATACTAGTACTACTATAAGAGAACTACTTACGCGTATAAATCCTTCATTAAGCAATAATATAAGCTCCTTATAGAGAACTAGTATTTTACTATAGAACATGCTATATAGTAGTTCATATAGTAGCTAACTATTTTTTAGTTCTAGTTTAATTCTATAGTTAATACCTAGTCCTCAACATAGTAGAAGTTTCTCTATCTTCTTTAGGTTAAAGAAGTTATAGTACTTCTAGTACTACTTTAGTAATAGTACTCTTATATCTACCTACTTCTTAGGCTATAAGGCCTTATTAATATTTATAATTAATATAGTAAAAATCTAAATACTACTTAAGGCCCTTTTATACCTATAGAGAAGTGCTATAAACTTTACTATATTAATCTAATAAATCTCTTACTAAGGGACCTCTTCTATTAATCTTACTTAAACGCTAATTAAGTAGATAAATAGGCTCTTCTTTGCTAGCGTGATAGAAATGTTATTATAGTTTATTTAGGCTCTACTTAGAAGAATAAATCGTTATTAAGAATAGGTCTATTATATATATATAGGTATTCTTCTTATACCTATATAATCTAAATAAAAGTTAGGCAACCTTACTAATCTAAAATAACTTCTTATTAACTTCTTTAATTATCTAAGTAGGAATCTAAAAACACTTTAAATAGTAGTAGTAAGTAAACTTTTTATCAATTAGTATAGAGGGGTAATATAAGAAAAACATTACTTAAAAAGTTCTTATTCTAAAACTTGTATATCTAGCTGGAGAAAATAGCTAAAAATAAATAAATTATATATCTAAAAAGCTAAGATCTCCTAGTTTAGCCTGGAAGACCTACTATCTACTTAGTTAGCAGCCCTAAACGAACAAAAATCGCTAAACTAGAAGATTAAAATAATCTAAACTAGATATCTAGATCACTCTATTATTTGTATATAAAAAGGTCAAAGTCTCATAACGTATTCCATCACCGAGCGGGCCACATCACCGAATGTGCCACTTTTTCTTGGCATCACGAACTTCATGTACGAAAACTTAGATTACTCTACACTAGCTATAGATGCTTCGTACGACTTACTTGTATCTAAAAGAGAATCTTCTTCTACATCTTTCTGGCACGTACGAGAGTTATGGCCTGTCCTCCCACAGGTTCTATAGTGCCGTTGACCTGGTAGGGCCCTTTCTTGACTACCCTCACCACGTGCCTTCTTTGATGTCGTACGACCAGCAGAACTACTTTCAGCTAC